TGTCTCAGACACCTCAAACACTATGCACAAAGTGGAACTCTTTTTTTGTTGTTGTTTGTTTGGTACTGGGTATTGAACTTGGGTCATTCTGTTTGCGAAGCAGAAGGCAGAACCACTGAGCTAAATCCCTCCCCCAAAGTGGCACTCTTGTCTCTCCACTGCAGAACTACCTTTCTTTTTTTTTTTGGTACCAGGGATCGAACTCGGGGCCTTGCACTTGCAAAGCAGGCACCACAACCACTGAGCTAAATCCCCAGCCCTCTTCCCTTTTAAGTGGTATTACAATCCACTTAACCTGTTCAGCCAGATTCCTGGTAGTCATCTTGATTCTGTGGTATTGTTTGTTTTTTGTGGCAGGGTCTTGCTATGTAGTTCAGGCTAGCCTTGAAATATGTAGCCTAAGATGGCCTCAAGCTCAAGGCAATGGTCCTGTCTTAGCTTCCCAAGTGCTGGGATTACAGGTGTGTGCCACCATGCCAGACTCCTTTCATCAGATACTGAGAGTATTTATGTATCTATTGAACCCAGGGCCTTCACCCTGAGCTGCATCTCCAGCCTTTTTAAAGTGATTTTTTTGAGACAGCCATTTAATCATTGGCTCATCATAGCCATCTTTATCACCATTGTACCCAGTTTGTATATTTTGCGGTACTCATCCCAAATTCTTTATTACTATTTTTGAGGCAGGGTCTTACTATGTAGTTCAGCCTCAGGCTGGCTTTGAAACTAGCCCAGGCTAGCCTTAAACTTGTGATCCTCCTACTTCAGCCTCCTCAGTCCTGGGATTACAGATGTGTGCCACCATGCCCTGCCACATTTACTCGTTTTTAAAAATATTCTTACAGAATTTTAAGGGGTAGAGTAAGAAAATGTCTTGCCTTACTAATACCTGGAAACAGCCTAAAACATACATTTAGTAAGTATGTATGTGAATGATGTGCTTCCCTTGAAAACATACTACCCCCTGCATTGCTCCCCATCCATTTGTTGATTTAGTGTCAGTAGTCATTTAAAAAAACTAGAAAAACAGTGTGGCCAGGCATGGTGGTGCACACCTGTAATTGCAGCATTCGGGAGACTGATAGGATTGCCATGAGTTCGAGGCACAGTAGTGCACACCTGTGATCTCAACTATTCCAGGGACTAACACAGGAGGATTGTACATTCAGGCTGGTCAAAGTAGTGTGACTCTATCTCAAAATAGAAAGCTGGGCTGTAGCTTAGTGGTAGAGTGCTGTGTGAGGCTCTGGGTTCAATTTCTAGTACTGCCAAACAAATGAGTTCAGCCCAGGATCCCTGTGGAGTGGGACCAGAGGGTTCATGAATGGCCATTTGGGGCTGGAATGGTTCTGGCCCATTAAAGTTCAGAGTTCAGCAGTATATAATGAGAGAGATGGTGGAAGTGTCTATGCCTAAAACGGCCTATAGCTTTGAGATGTTGATCTCTGAAAGCAGAGTTGGGAGTGCTGGCAGCTCTCCTCACTTAACTTCTCTTTAGTCCCATCTAGGCTTTATATCTCGATTCTGTAGATGGTCCTCTTCATAGTTGTCAGCATGGATTAATGTACTTGAGGGTCTGCCTCAGTTGAGCTCCAAGAGGGATGGGACACTGTTTTTAGCTTGTCACTGATAGCTTTCTAGAGCCAACCAGTTGGTAGTATAGCCAACATTTACAGATTGCCTTACTTTTTACTGCTCCAAATAGCCCAAAGGAAGGTGTGAGTCCCATTCAATGTAGGATAAAGCTGGTTCAGAGAGGTTGTTACAAGTCCAGGACCACTGGAAGACTTGGGTTTGAGTCCTATCATTCCCCTGCAGAGCTCAGACTCTGAGCAGGGCCAGCAGCTGAGCCAGCTCCATAGTGGCTACCTCCCAGGCCAGGTGTGCTTGGGCTCTAGCTTCCAGGAAGGGCCAAGACCATCATCAGGAATCCCAGGTTATCACTGGGGAAGGGTGGAAAATGGGGTGTGAGCTCTTTTTTGGTACTCCCAGGGTTTCGAAGTAAGGGATGAGCAGTTTGCCCTCTGCCCGGTAGAGCTGTTACCCATCTATCATTCTTTGCAGTGTGGTTCAGGGTTGGAACGGGCACCTGGGAGTAACATCCAGCTAAACTGACCTCTTGTGGGACTCCTTATGCCTGTGTGGTACAATTCACAAACATGGCCACTGGAGTGCACTGGCTGCTCCCAAGGTGGAGACAGTGGTGCCAACAGTGCAGGAAGTGATCCTTTTCTTGGCCATTCACTTTCTAATTATCACCACTGTCCCGCTTGACACTAGCTTCTGATGCTAGTGCCAGGGGCCAGCCAGATCCTGGCAGGTTAGTTCACCTCGCTGTATGAAGAGTTTGAAAAACTTTCTTTCCTCCTTGGGTGGATATGACTGCTTAGGACTGCTGATCCCTTTACCAACTGCTCATTTGTAGTAGTTTCTGCCTGCAACTTTCTGGTGAACAAGTAACAGGAATCAGGAGTGTTTTTTTGCCATATGAGGTGTAGAACATTTAACCTTTCTTTCTAAACCTCAGTTGCCTTAAATATTGGGAGAGCTAACCATGCTGTTTGTTGGGGTTTTGTGCATTAGTGAAAATGATGGTTTTTATTTGGATTGGATCTTCACAAGCCCTGCATTATTGATAGCACTCATTGCACCAGATCTTTTGCTCTGTATCTGTGGGTTCTTAAAGCTGATTCTGCCATTTCCTGTGCTTCATTTCTTCTTGGCAGGAGTGCACAATCTTGCCCTCACTCAAGAAAGCCCTAAGAAAGACTGATTCTTTTGGCAGCTCTTTGCAGGAACATGTTTTATTTTTTTCTTCTTCCAAATCTCCACACGAGCCAGGAGGCCAATCTTGGGAAAATTGCTTCCCTTTTCAAAACCATCTTGGAGACACCCAACCTTTTTCTGCCTATCCTGAATGCCTATAATAACTCCACTGTGGCTTGAAATCAGAGGGTAGGAAGGAGGCTGCCTCAGGCTTGAAAGATGGAGCACTGCTTGCACAACTGGAGCTTTTGCCAAGGTGATCTTAGCAGAGGTAGAGCTCAGTAAGTCTGTGCCTCCCCTGGCATCCTAGGAAAAGGTGTCACACTAGTACCCACAGAATTCTCACATACCACCTAGGTGAATCTGGCTTTCTGCCAACAGTGATAATATTTCGGTCAGGATAGGGTTTATTTTTCCTTGAACTTCTACTACTGAACCTTGCTTGTGCCCAGAACACTGCCCCAAATAGCTGACTGCTCAGAAATTTATGGAGGTGAAAGGCTTGATGTGTGAACCCTTCCCCACCAAATTGGGTCAGGAACATGTCTTCAGTCTTCAACATCCTTCATAAATATTCGGTCTCTCTACAGGCTACTGATTAGTTCTATGGGGGGGGGGTTGCTGGATATCGAATCCTGGACCTTTGCACTGAACTACATTCCTCAGCACCCTCCTCCTTTAATTAGGATCTTGCTAAATTTGCTAAGGGCGGGCTCAAATTTAGGATCCTCGGGTGTCAGCCTCCAGAGTGCTGAGATTACAGGTGTGTACCATCACAACCAGCTAGTATAAAGAAATGCCTAAAAACCGGGCTGGTACTTAGCTGTGATTCCGACACCTGCCTCGAGAGCTCAAGGTCCTGACTTGGACTCCTGGTACCAAAAAAAGAAATGCCTTAAAAAAAAAATGTGTCTATTTCTAATGCTTCAAGGTACCTTTTTTGGGGGGGCGGGTAGCATGGGCAGTACTGGGAATTGAATCCAGGGCCTCAAAACTGCTAGGCAAGGACTACTACTTAACTATATCCCACGCCCAAGAAAAAACTATTTTAGGATTGTATAAATTGCCCATCTCAATTAACTGTTAACATCAGGGTGTTTTGTTTTGCTTTGTTTTTGTTTAGAGATAAAACTTAGGGCCAGGGATTTAGGTGCGGCTGCCTGCCTTGCAAGCACAATGTCCTGAGTTCAATCAGTGGTACAAAAAAATAACTAAGGCCTTACACATACTAGGCAAGCTTTCTATTACTGAGCTATATGTAGCTCCAGCCCATTTTGAAAACAGGGTCTTGCTAAATTGTCCAAGCTGTCGAATTTGTGATCCTTTTGCCTCACCTCCTGAGTAGCTGTGTAGAATATATCATTCCCATATAGGGTACATGGGGGTTACATGCAATGTGTATTTTCTTAAAAAAGTGGGGAGGACACGATTTCAGAATGTTGTCACTGCTAATCATGCCTAATTTGCTTTGGTGCTCAAAATACAATTTCCCTTTTTAAAATCTATCAAAGCCATCTTACTCATTTTAGCCAGTCTAATCCTAGCAGAAATATTAACACCTTAAGAGAACTTTTAATAGTTATAAGTGAACTTAAATGAATATATATGTGAATATATATAAAAAAATATGCAGTTTTGATGCTGCTGGACATTTAATCCAGGACTGTGTGCTCTACAACTATGTCCCCCAGCTCCTAAAGTAATTTTTTTAAAAGGACAAAGCAGGGTGTAGTGGTACACACCTGTAATGCTAGCACTTGGGAGGTTGAGGCAGGAATATCACCATGAATTCAACACCAGCCTGGGCTACACATGGTGAGTTCAGTTTGCAACTAGTGTGAAATACATGGTGAGACCCGGTCTCAAAAAAAGTCCCTCAAAAGGTTATCGGAGGGGAGATTGTGGTTTAGCCTTTTCCTGATGCTAGGCTTCCTATGGGGGTTTCTTTACTAATTGGGGTTTGCTAGATTAACATTGGAAGAACAGTTTCAGTTATTTAGAAAGGAGCCTGACTGCCAGCTGCAGTGTATTTATCAGTGTTTCAAGATTTTGGCTAACTTCTTACCACTACAGTACCTATTTTGAAGCTATATTACTCACCTCACTGAATCCTTCCTTCTACATCTAAATTTTAAGATGTCTACTCATTTGCATTTTGTAGCTTGAGCACAACTGGGAAAGAATCAGAAGTCACACAAACACAAAAAGGTAAGTGTTAAAAATGTTTATTTGTCAAAAAAAAAAAAAGTGGAGAAAACAAGGCTAAATTTCAGCTAATGCTGTATCACGATCACAGGTCAGACAAAAAAACAAAACAACAAAACCCCCAATGGTCCTAGCAACTTCAAAAGAGTAGCTTCACTGTTAGAGTCCAGATTTAACAGAGAAAAGGCTGCTTGCTACTACATGGTCATTTTAAAGGGAAAAGGTGCTGCAGGTAGGCAGGGAGAAGGGTTCAACTCCTAAGGAAAAGCAAGATAAAGAGGGGTTCCACTGTACAGGAAAAGGGATGCCAGCATAATCCTTACCCAGGGCTGCTCAGAGGCTGAGAATATAAGGAACAGATTGAAAGGCTACAGACACTAATATAAAGAGGAAAGAAAAGTCAACTTAGAAGAATTAAATTAAGAAAGAAAACATAGTTGGTCACAAACTCCTTTGTTTACTGAAACATGAAGCAATGGAAACATCCCGGCAAAAGGGACCGCGCGAAGCAAGTTCTCATTTATGACCGCAGCCCGAGGGTTCAGTCCGCAATTATCCTACCTGAAAGAGAGCACAACACAAGAGGCTTACACAATGCCTGGAGAGCAGCCTGGCTCCGAGTACAAGGGCCCTGGTCCCGTCCTGTATTCCAGGGGGGAAAAAAAACAAAGAACAACACCAAGTCAGACTGCATCAAACGTACATCCCACAACATTATCTAAGTATCTGCTAATTGTTATTTATATATATACAAATCTACATATAGGTATATATGGGGCAAGATGCAAACTAGCAGGAAGACTGCTGTGTTGGTGACAAATTCAACTTTCTCATTTTCTTAATCCTTTAAAAATTTTTTTTTGTGGTACTGGGACTTGAACCCAAGGCCTTTGCAATGAACTACAATCCCCAGCCCTTTTGTTATTTTGATACAGGATCTCACAGTTGCTCAGGCTGGGCTTGAACTTGCAACCTTCCTGCCTCAGCCTCTCAGACTGCTAGAATTACAGGCTTATGCCAACAACGGGTATACGTACAGTATCAAGAACTACAGTGGTCCAGGAAAAACAGATGCTGAGATTTCAAATATGGCCAATGCTTTTTTTGGGGGGGGCGGGGGATGCCCAGGCTGGCTCCAACTGCTAAGCTTAAGTGATTCATGATCCTTCTGGGTAGCTGGGACTACAGGTGTGCACCATCATGACCAGCCCAACTATATCATTCTAAGTGTGTTTCATTTTATTTTAATCTTCCATATAAACAAACTTCCAAAAATGACAGTCACAAAGGATAGTCTCAAGGAGTGATCGGTTATTCAATCATTTCCAATACATCTACATGTCACACTGTCACAAATATAGAGCCACAGTTCCAGCAGTTCCCCAAATTTACCAAAGCTCCCATGCCAACTCAAAAGAAGAAATAAATCACTGCTAGAATTCTCTAATTCTTCCAGTGATGATGGAAACTCCAGACATCAATGGCTGGGGGAAAAAAAAAGTTAACTCACACCAAGTTCCTCTACTTATTACAGACAAAGGGCCAAATCTTGGTCTTGATCTGTGCCAATCGACTTCAAAAGTTGTGACGTTCTTGATCAGTTCTGCTAGGGTGAGACCCGAATTTGGATCCCCAACAGTTGTGTTGTATTTCATCCTGGCAGCCTCATTAACATCAGGCTCCTGGGACTGCAACCAACTCAGGGTTATTCAGTCCATTTGAGGTTCACACCTGGAAGGTAAGTTTCTTTAAAAGTCATCACTAAAAAGAGGTTAGTTGAACAACCACTTGCCTCCCAGTTAAAATTTATTTTTAAAATGCCCTAGAAATACCCTTTAAAGACTGCAAAGTTTAATATTTAACTCTGAGACACAATTAAGAAAAACAAGTTATTTAATAGACTGATATCAACTTACTTCAGAGGCATCTTACCTCATAGTAGATCCAGCTGTAAAAATTAATGGTAAAATCCACAGGTTTTAGAATTATCTACTTAACTCACATGAATACATACGGCTGCACAATGGTTTAAGAAAAACCAAAGTCTTATTGACACTGTCATGTAGGATATAACTTTTTTGTTTTTTGTACCAGCAATTGTACTCGGGACCTTGGACTTGTGAGAGAGGCGGAAGAACCACTGAGCTAAACGTGTAGGATATAACTGATCATAGGCTCATGCCATATTTGCTCCTCACTTCACAAAAAACATATATATATATACCAGGAATGGGGATAGATCAGGAACCTTGGAAACTTAGTGGTTAATTCAAGTTAATCTTACTACTGGGGCTCCAATTCAAGTGACAATTTCAAAGTATAAGGAAAACCATCTAAATATGAAGTTGTCATGCCACCATTTCTACTCTTATGAAATTTCTAGATGCTAATTATTATTGCCATTCCAACACCGGATACACATTTTCTAATATAGGTCAACTAAATTTCCAGAGTCACCACGTATGAGTTTTAATGCACATCAGAAAATGACCAGTTTATCTAATTCCTTAAGTGTTTCTCTCATTGGTTTTTTTTTTTTTTTTTTTTTTTTTGGTACCGGGGATTGAACTCGGGTCCTTGTGCTTGCAAGGCAGGCCACCAAATCACTGAGCTAAATCCCCAGCCCTAAGTGTTTCTCTCTTAAAAAACAAACATTGCTGGCAGAAACCCATGTACATCACAGGCTACATGGGCTAAATGTCTATATAAAGCAAATGCTCTGGATCTAAATACAGAAAGGACTATATGGACAGAGTATCAAAACATTCACCATTCAATTATCTTAGAACTCAATACTTAACACATGTAGGATTTTACCTGGCTTACCAATATGACACCCGAAGAGCTCCATATATAATGAAGGCTAATGACTCAATAAGTTTTATTAGCAAACTAGAAGGCTAAAGTTCTCACTGTGCTATCCATTATGACTTCTGAACCAATATCATTCACTTTATCACAGCGACTTTGTGCAAACAGCTTTGGTTTTGGAGATAAGCTTGAATTCAAATTTTTACTTTACCTCTCATTTACCAAGTGACAGTGGGCAAAATACTGAACTTCTGTAAGCCTTAGTTCACATGGTTTGAGAAAAATGCCTCTTATATACACAGGGAACCAACTAATAAATGTTAGTTCTTTTATCCTATTTTCTTTTTTTTGAGACAGGGGTCTCTGTAACCCAGGCTGGCCTCAAAACACAATGATCCTTCCTGCCTCAGTCTCCTGAGTGCTGGGATTATAGGCGTGCACCACCACACCCAGCTCTTACACTATTTTCTATAATCCAAATTTGTACTAACAAAATGAGTTTGTTGTTCTCAGAAGGAACAAATTGGAGCCACACACTAAAACCTCAAAAGACCAAATGAATCCATTTTCTAAGGTAGAGAAATACTGAAGACTAACATAATTTGTACTTTTTGGACATTATCTCAACAGCAAACAGGTGGGCTCTACCCTCTATGAAGCAAGGGTCTCTTGCAAAGGAACTAAACAGAAGCTCCTAACCACATCCACCCCACTCTCACCTCCAGTTTTTAAAAGGCTGAGTAACGTGCTCGGTCCACATACTGCTCCCGTTCATATCGGGCCATGTCATACAGGGAATTCCGTGCAGCTGCTGAAGCCTGAGACAGCTCACTCTCTGGCCCATAACCGTAGCCCTCTCCAACTGTGGGGAGCACAGCTGCAGCACGACGCAGTGGGCTCCTGTCCCTTCCATAATAGGAGGAAGAGGTGGCAGCGGCGGCAGCCATAGCAGAGGTGGCAGCAGCGCCAGAGTTCGGCAACAGGTGTCTGTCATAGGGGTCAACAGAAGTGGAATTGAGGTGACTGGTTACAGCTGAGCTCTGGACTTGAGGCAGATGAGACATGGTTTGGTCTGCATAGTTGTATGCAGAAGCAGCAGCTGCTGCCGCTACTGCTTCATAAGAGCGGACCCGGTAGCGCTTATAGTAGTCGAGTGCTCCATATGCATCATTATAATACATGGATTCCCCATAGCCCATGGTGTAGGGTGTGCGTACTGCTCCATACTGTTCATTGTACTGCTCAGTAAAGTCTGCCACACGCCCTGTACGGTCTACTGGGCACTCTTTGGACCAGTGTCCCTCTTTTCCACACCGATAGCAGCCACTCTGGTCTCCCATTCCAGGAGCAGTCCGAAGCCGGCTGGTTGACAACTGCACATGCATTCTTTTGCCTTAAGGAAATAGATTGAGAAGATTTAATATAATGTATTGACATTCTTTTCTTTTGGGGGAAGAGGGGTTTTCATTATGTAGTCCAGGTTTGAACTCACAATCCTCTTTCCTCAGCCTCCCAAGTGGTGTGATTACAGGCATGTACCACCCCCGGCTGACATTCTTTATTCTCCCTTAAATGAAAGTAAATGTAAGCTACACAAATACACACATACCCCTGTTAACTTTATTTCAGCAATTCTCTCCAAAAATGTTGCTGAAGTGGTTTCGATTCAGATCAGAGCTAGAAAATCTTAAATCCTCAGAGACCACTCAAATCGTTTTTTTTTTTGCTTTGGTTTTTGTTTTTTTTTGAGACAAGGTCTTGCTACGTAGTTCAGATTGGCCTTGAACTCATGGCAATCCTTCTGCCTCAGCCTCCCAAATGCTGGGATTACAGGTGTGTGCCCCACTATGCCTGGTGACTAATCCTTTCTTATACCACTAGCAGACCAGATTCCTTCCTACTTCTTTCTCTTTTTTTTTTGTTTTGTTTTGGTTTTTTGAGACAGGGTCTCACTATGTTGTTGAGACTGACCTGGAACTCACTATGTAGCCCAGCCTGGTCTCAAACTCACAGCTTCACAGCGATCCTCCTGCCTCAGATCCTCCTGCTTCAGCCTCCCGAGTGCTGGGATTACAGGCGATTACAGGCGTGCGCCACCACGCCCGGCCCTTCCTACTTCTTTCATTAGCTTTTCTTCACTCCCCAACAAATAAATAATTTCTTTTCAATAAGACTGTTAACAATTCAAAACCTGCTAATACTTCCAAATCAAACAACAACCCCCCACCTCTCCCCAGTTAGACCACATTTGGAAGATAAATCTTCCTCACTTTTCACTGATTTACTCAGGGCCACACAAGACCTGAGCATTACTGTAGTTTAAAAACCATAGCAATGGGCTAAGTATGATTCAGTGGTAAGAACATGTGATTAGCATGCATGAGATGCTGGTTCTGATTCCCAGCATTGCAAAAAACAAGCAAGCAAAATCAAACAAATCCAATAGCAATCTTGTGTCCATCTTGTTTCCTCCAGCAATTTGTGTGTCACCAGAAAGCTATGGTGGATATCCAAATTATAGTAGACTTACCATCTGCTTCATCTCCCATACTTGTGTATGTGGGAAGTCTAGATTTCAAACCCCTCCCCCTCAACACTTTTTTTTGGAGAGTCTTCCTATGTAGTTCATACTGACCTTGAACTAGTCTAAACTGGCCTCAAACTTACGGCGAATCTCCTGCTTCAGCCTCCCAGGTGCCGGAATTATAGGCATGTGCCACCTTGCCCAGCCCCCACATAAACTTTTTTCCACAAAGAAAAACTGTTTGACCAAGGTCTCTCAACAAGAATTAGAAAGATCTTGAAATACTATCAGCTTCTTAGGGACTATGTGCTTCCATGTAATACAATCATCAGCATTTCATCCTGCCACTAAGCAGAAATATTTTATAAGGAATTTTTAGTTTAGGCAATGTTTACCCAAAGGCCTATCCATGCTTTTGGGAAATGACCAGCACTAAAGAACAGCTGAGAGAAGAAATAATCTTTGCCTAGGGCTTATGTAACCCAGAGGCCCTTGGTGGTAAAGCCTCCAAAGTCTTTCAGAGCAATTTGGGAAAAAGTAGTAGTCTTGGTAATAATTTAGTTTTGAACTGCTAAGACTTTGCAGATAAAGTCAATGGTTTTTAAATGTAACTAAAAGGCAATCTGTACAGATACAGAGAACAGGGACTTGTCATCACTCAAAAACAAATCCTCCACCATCAGCTAGCTGCTCTCTTTTCAACAGTCCCTCTAGTAGCTGTGCAATAGAATTCTCATGCTTCACCATCCTGTTGGAAACAGCCCAATTCAGGATGGCAGCAAGCATACCAAGCACTGATGGGTTCTGAGGCTAGCAGATTAGTAGGGTGACATCACTTTAGTCAAAGTCAGTTCTACTCAATGTCTAAGATACCTTACCTAGTTTCCAGTACTTCCCACTTTCAACTTTTTTGAGACAGGGTCTTGACATGTAGTTCAGGCAGGCCCTGAACTCCCTATGTAGCCCAGGCTGGCCTCACACTCACAGGGATCCTCCTGCTGAGCCCTTGGATTAAAGGAGTGAGCCACCACACCCAACTCCATCTTCAATTTAAAACTCACGCTTTACCAAAAAACAAAGATGCTCAGGCTTTTGACCTCCAGCTGCAAGTAGACAGTTAGCATCCATCATCACATGGTAACAACCATCAATAAATAGCAAATGGCAACAACTGAAGGCAGTCACCCATCCCACTGTTTTCAGATATTTAAATACTCCCAATCACCCACAGAAGTTAGTATGTTTGAGACAGTCTTGCCTGGCCTTGAACTCTCACTCTGTAGCCCAACCTGGCCTCAAACTCTTGGTGATCCTCCTGCCTCAAGCCCTCAAGCGTCACAACTGCTGGGATTACAGGCATGCCCCACCATCCCCAGCTCCTGCTTACATTTGCTGCATCTGCTACATCAATATATTATAGAATATTCTTTAGACTAGAGGATTACAAGTTACTTGGCTTACAAACATGCATGGTGACATTGAAGTATGTGACAAACAAACTGTGCTCCAATTCTGAGGTCACAGTAACCATTTCAAAATCCATTTAAAAAGCTACCAATCCAACATCTGTAAGAAAATCCAATTAAACTTACTTTACAATTAAATTACACTTTACTTTTATAGATTGTTTCTTTTTTAGAGAAAGAAGACCTAATGATTTTACCTTGATGTTTCTGATACGAAAACCAATCTTCAGTCCTTTTTATTTAGACGGATGGAAACCCTAAATGTATAAATAGCTATTGCTAAATCTACCTCTGTGTAGTTGTGAGAGGAGGCCAAAAAAACAAAAACCCAAAAACAAAACACCCACATTTTACTTATAACTAAAAAGACCTGTAACAGAAGTGATAGGTGTTTTTGTTTTCTGTCTTTTAACAGTCATTCCAAAAATTACAACCAGGCTTTCAGTGTAAGTCCCCTAAAGTCTGTTTTGTTTGGTTTTTTGGAGACAGGGTTGCCCTACGTAGTCCAGCCTTGAACTTGCTATGTAGCCCAGGCTGACCTTGAACTTGAGAACCTTCCACCTGAGCTTCCTGGGTGATAGGTTATAGACTTGTCACAACCAGCTCTCTCAACGTTCTTATAATTGCAAAGTACCGAGCTCTTCTAGTACCTTTAGGGACCAGGGCAAAGAAAATTAAAAGGCGATTAAATTCTACCATGCTACATGTGGACAAGCCAAAGCTTTCAGGAACCCCCAATTATTTTCTCTACAAAGCTGGAACAGAAGAGAGTATTAAAGCAGAGAGATGGGCCAGGGATTTAGCTCAGTGGTTTCATTGCATGCCTTGCAAGTGCAAGGACCCAGGTTCGATCCCCAGTACCAAAAACAAAACAAAAAAACACTGAGAGGTGGGAAAACTTGGGGTCTTAATTTCTTGGCCTCTACCACATGCCAAAATCCAGAGAAGGCTGGAGATGAAGCTAAGAAACAATGGCATTCTGATTTAAGACTGAAAAAATGAGACACCAACACTTAAGTGTTTCCTTCCTAATTCAGCTTCCTGAATGGTTTACTTGGGAACAGATTCCTAGAGTTTTCTAATGCAAACTGTTCAATGATGCTTGTGAAAAAGAAACATACACTGAAAGATCCAGGTAAACTCAGGTTCTACTGCTTCCTTTTAGAAGTTATACAGTGTAAAGACTTAAACGGCAGCCATTAAATACAGTAATGAAGATTCAAAAAGATGCCCAAGGTGGCACTTTTCACAGTCACCTTCATTGATAACTGAAAACTGCCAAATAGTATCTAGATTATACTTTCTGTAAAAGTGTGACTTACTATCCAATCCTAAACCTTTTGTTGTCATCTGGGAAAAATAAAACAAGAGCTGGCTACTAAAATGTCTGTATGTGTAATTCAACTCTCTCCAGAGGAGCCATAGAGAGACCATGAGAACCAAATAAAAGATCTTTCTTCTCCAATTCAGTTTGGGCCTGCACTTTCTAAAGAAGTGATAACATTAAAAAAATCAGGGGCCAGGGATTTAGCTCAGTGGTTCCGCCATCTGCCTCACAAGTGCAAGGTGCTGAGTTCGATCCCTGGTACCAAAACAAACAAACAAACAAACAAAAAAACCCAGATATTACTTTTCTTTTTTTTTGGGATGGTACTGGGGACTGCACCCAGGCCTTCTCACTGAGCTGTATCACCAGCCCTGTTTTATTTCTGAGACAGAGTCTTGCTAAAACTACCCAAGAAGGGCTTGAACTTGGGATGCTTCTGCCTCAGCTTCTTAGCGTGCTGGAATTATAAGCATACGCCATCACACCTGGCTACTTCCTAAGCAATTACACCTGCTTTATTTACTACACCACATAGTTGGGGCTGGAGGTATAATTTAGTGGTGGAGTGTGTGCTTAGCATGTTCAATCCCCAGCATCAGAAAAAAAACAAAACCAGGAGCAGCAAGGCCTCTGGAGAGTTATGGGGCCTTCACCAGGCCAGGGCCTAGAAACAAACCAACCCTAAAACTAAAACAAAAAACCACAAAATCATTCTAAGCCAACTGCTGCCTGGTAACTGATTTCCCTTATATATATTTTTGCTCCTTTTATTTTACTCAACTGTACATTAAAAAGGTAAGGGCAGAGATGGACATGGTCATGAACATCTATAATCCTAGTACTCTGGGAGCCTGAGGTAGAAGGATTCCAAGTTTGACCATTACCCAGATAAACTTAGTGAGCTTGTCTCAAAATAATAAAGATAAAAAGGCCTGGGGATATAACTCAGTGTGAAGGTTCTGGGTTCAATCCCCAGTACTGCCAAAAAAGAAAAAAACGGCATTCAGAAGTACACTATCAGAATACCTCTGCAGTGTTTGTAGCTGAGTTTTACATCCTTTTACATTTTGTTACCTATCAAGAATCCTCCTTTCTCACTCTCCATTATCCATCAATGATCTCCCTTCCACATGAAATGAAAATAACACTTTTATAAAGCTAGTGTACAGTGGCATTTCAAAATATTTAAAAACTAGAAATTGAAAAAATAAACCAGAAAAGCTTAACTGTTACATTCTAATACCTTTCTAAGCTGGATGTGGATGTGCATATCTGTAATTCCAGGACTCTGGGAGGCTAAAGCAGGAGGATCATAAATTCCAGTCCCCCCTAGGCAACTTAATGATTTACTGAGATCATTTCAAAACAAAAGAAGGTCTGGAAATATAGTATGGTGAAAAAGTCCTGGGTTCAATCCCCAGTACTCAAACACACACACAAAAACAAGCAAAACAAAAACAACAACAACAACAAAACCCCAAATTTTCTAACCAGAATAGAAACAGTGGCTGCAAGCAAACAGCATTCTCCTTTCATCATACACTGCTTTTATTGTCGAAACACTTAAACATTACCTTATTCTAGTTTTACTACCATCCTGTGAGGGAGGTATGGCAAGGATCATTAACTCTTTAAGTGGGTAAAATGAAGCACAGAGAGGTTAAAATACTTGTCCACTTGCTAGTTAATGGCAGTATATACCTACAACTTTTGACCTATGCTTGAAAGGGTAGCTAAAGACCAGGACCCCACTGGCTGTAGGCAGGGATTCTTGATGTTTGCTCCTCTACCAATCTCCACTATTTGTATATTTTCTTACCCTTCTCTACTGAACTTTTTCCTTTTCCCATTATTTCTTTTCATTCTCTTTTCAGGCTCAGAAGAGAAAGGGCCTTTAAATACTTTTTCTTCCTCCTTGGTAATAGCGGTTGAAGTCAGCGCCTTCACACTGAGCTACACTCCCCTGCCCTTTTTTATTCTGAGACAGGGTCTTGCTAAGTCACTGAATTGTCCACGCTGGGCTCAAGCCTGTCATTCTCCTCTCTCAGTCTCCCAGAATACTAGGATTACAGGCATTTGCCACCACGCCTGGTCTAAGTACTTAACTTTTTTAGTGGCACTCAGAACAAAAAGGGTGTTGACTTAGGAAGGAGAAAAGTGGCTGTGAACGTGTGGTCCAACATACTGTTAACAAAACCTTGCAGAACAGAACTTCTATGATAATGGAAATGTTTTATGGGTGCCAAACCAGCAGCCATTACTCTTACAACTGAAAAGTGTGCAGTATAAATGAAACCATGAACTTTAAATTTTACTTAATTTCAATTAATATAAACTTAGTGCTACTATATTAGCACAGTGCTAGAATTTTCAATCTCCTGTGGTACTAAAACAACACAGGCCCCTTTATTATAAATTTAAACAATACATGCTCTATGATATCCTTACTGGAATCTCATCAGAAGCAAGACCATGATTCCTATGAAACTTTGAATTTTTAGAAATTTTCTTCCTCTTCCCACAGGGATAAATAATAGCAGAATGGTCCATGGCTTTTTTTTTTTTTTTTTTTTCCTTTTGCTCTGCTTGTATAGCCCACAGACTGAACAAATTTGAGAACCCAAAAGGCACCCCCCCCAAATCCAGGTTTAACACCCAGATTTATAATACACAGATTCCTCTAGATACCTTTTTCTCTCTTTCCCACCAGTACCCATCACCCAAGGGAATAGACCATAAATTCTAAGTATTTAAACCCTCAAATAAAAGGCTTCTTTGGTCATAATAAAAGAAAGAAGAAAGCCACAGACCTTTAACCACCCTTCTCTCAGGAAATACCCATTTACCCAGGCAAATTAGCCTTCCAACACCACTCTTATCAATGAAGACCACAGAAAAAAGCAACCCAAGTTTGTGATCCTGCACAGTTGTTGAGGAATATCTCAGCAAACTTGAATAAGGGAAGTGTTTGCTTCCCCAAGAGTAAATTATGCTTAAAAATGATAAACACAATCTATTATTCTGACCTAAAAGAGAATGGAAGAGACTATTCTACAAGCCCCAGGGTCTTGTATTTTTCCCTCTGTTTTGAGCTACATCCCACTGAGGTCTGCCACCCAGGTCCCAGAGCAGTTCACCTTGAAATTCTGTGTTGTCAAGGCCTCTGATGGCCTCCACTGCATCTTCTGCCCGCTCCATGTGTACAAAGGCATAATCTTTCACGATGTCACATTCGATGACTGGACCATACTCCTCAAACTTGGCCCGAAGCTCTTGGTTGGTACAAGTGGGACTGATGTTGCCCACGTGTAACTTGGTTGAAGCTTTGCTCTTATTCTTGCTGGCTTCTACGTTGATGTTCACCCCGTGCAGCTTGTAGTGGTGCAGGTTACGGATGGCATCCTCGGCCGCTGTCTTGTCCTCTATGTGCACAAAGCCATAGTTCTTAATGATGTCACATTCCAGCACCTTCCCATACTGCTCAAACAGTGAGCGGATCTCTTGCTCTGTGGCCTCCCGGGGCAGGTTTCCGATGAACAGCTTCACCATCCTGACGAGAGCCTGGAAGAAAAGAAACAAGACTTCAAAATTTAGGGGTGAAATGGGAAATTTCAACACACCGTGTTTGAGCTTAATCCTCCAAAGTTCCTGGCACCTTCAAAGCCTTCACACAGACGTTCATTATTCTTGACAGAGGAAGATCGGTTTGTTCTTAAAGAGTATAGTGCCAACAGGAGGTCGAAGGTCAGCATGCACAACATAGCGAACATCTCAAGATGAGGCCCGTTTGAGTAGCACTAACTGTGTTTCATGTTTCTGAACAGGGAGAAAAAAGAAAAGCCGAAGCAGAAGGTAAGAAGTATCTGAGTGTACGTGGTAACAAGATTTTGGAGGGAAATCTGTGTACTTCTCCACGGTGCGGTATCACTTTCTAAGATACTCTTAAGAATAAAAACGCCTCTCTGGCTCCAAACCCGGACTCCTCTCCTTGCAGTCTAACCCCCAGCTCCTTCACCCCAACAAAGACTCAGCCCGACCCCTGCCCCGCCCCCTCCGGAGACCTGGTCCCGCCTCCTCTTGTTGTCTTCTCTGGACCTTCCGCTGGAAGATGAGAAACCCCGTCCCTGGGCCGTCCCGGTCCGCAAAGGGCCGACTCAACCCGCCAGCGGCGACCCCACACACCCCTAACACCTCCTCGTACCTCCGGGTAGCGGCGATGGTGGCGGCGGCTCCCGCGTCAGAGAGAACCCTACAAAATGGCGACGGCCGCTCGAGCCTCGGCGCGAGCGGGCCCGTTCTCGCGCGCCAGCTCACGCACGCGCGAGTGCGCGCTACCCCGTTCCCCAACCCCTCGCGGGAGGCGACCGACCAATCCCGCGTCCGCACACAGATAGCCGCCCAACACCCGGGTGGGAGGGGGAGCTAGTGACGGCGCTGCAGGGCTTACGTTCGCCAGCCTCCATCCTCAACTAGCCAATCACCACCCTGGGAAGGGGTCGCGGTTTTAGCGTCAGAAAGGCTCCGGACGCAACCACTGTCTTGGTAAAATGGGAAGCCCGGTGGAGTCACTAACCCGCACGGTGGATCGTGCTATTGGGCCACCTGGGGAGGGGGGTGCTGATGACAAAGGGTTATCTCAATGGATCTCCTAAAAGAGGCTTTTTTTAGCAGGCCTGTCAGTCTATATGGCAGCGGGGGCAATATTTCAGATATACAGGCGTGCCGCATTTTAAGCAAAACAAATCATTTTGGGGGAAGTTCTTTGAAAAATTTTAAGTTTTTCTTCATTGTTGAAGAAACAGAACTAAGAGCAGAAAGATGATCCATGGCAGAGCTGGGGTAGGTCTAAGCTACACTTAGGTTTGTTTGTTCATGTATAATGTGGGCTGGTTTTCTCTCTAGTAATCGTTTGTCCATCACAGTTCCCGGTCCGTAGTGGGCAAGCCAAAGAAATACATGGTTCAGAGGCCCAGAGAAATTCCTTGTTTTCGGGTGGGATGGCGCCTTCCCGTTCACACTCAGCTGCAACCATGCCTCTCGACTAAGCTTTCATAATTCAGCTGCGGCCCAAGGGCACCTCCTGGTGGCAAAAAAGAAAGCTATTAGGTGGAATAGTAAATGTCACCCTCTACCGAGCCGATAATTGCGGAGATAGATGGATTGTTTATCTCCAAATAGAGGTACCAGGGTGGGTGACAATTACCATCCTGCGTTGTGATGATGCCATCGAGGCACAGATTCCCCAAGCTCTTCTCCCCGCCCCCTCCCAGCTACTTGGATATGTTTCTTTCACTAAATTTATTTCCCAGGCATTTCAGAAGCTTCCTTATTTATTTATATTTTAGGTTTTTTTGAGACGAGGTCTTGCTCTGTAATTCAGGCTTGAACTCACTATGGCTCACTATGGCTCAGGTTGGCCTCAAACTCGCAACAATCCTCCTGCCTCAGCCTCCCAAGTGCGAGGACCACAGGCATACACCACCTTGCTTGGCGGAAGCTTCCAATTTTAATAACTGACATTCGTACTTGTCTCCCACCTAGTTCTATTTGCCTCTCCTCTTCCCTTCACCTCTTGGGCATTTCCAGTTTCAGACTGTTTACTTTCAGGCACCTCTAGAGACTTCATTGACCTTTTCTAAAATAGCTCTCACTAACCTTCACTAGTACTAACAGCTTCCGATGTTCCAGGAGAGAATTCTCAAAGATAGAGTTTGCATTTTTTATTACCCACCTTCATACATTGTATTTTGGATTCTGACCTTTCTGATTCCCGAAATTTTCTGAGGTCTCCAAAATTAATATCCCCTTAAGAGTTTGCATCCTTCTAAAACTTTCATTCACCAAACTTTCCTGTTTTTAAAAATTTAAAAATCATAGCTGACTGCCCCATTCCATCTCCTTCCCTCTTCTATTTCCTTCATTCTTTCATTTATTCCCTTTTATCTCCATTCCTCTTTCTTCATAAGCAGTCATTCTAATGAGTTTAATGTACATTATTTGGTTTCTCTGTTTTTGGAAGCCATGTCTTTTTAATCCACATTGTTTTCCTTTCTTTAAAAGCAAATTATCATGGGAGTTTTCAAAAAAGGCACAAATACAGAGATATTATGATGAACTCCTTTGGTCCCATTATCCAGCTTCAGCATTATCAACATTTTGCTGATTTTATTTTGTCCCACCCCCTCTACTTTTGGGGGGTCTAGAGTATCTAAAAACAAATCTGACATAATGCTCTGCTGCTAAGTACTTTGGTATCTGCTTCTAATAGAAAACATTATTGCTATGTGTTTTTTCTTTTCAGTGCTGGGAATCTAACCCAGGGCCTTGTGCATGTTAAATGAGTGCTGTACCACTGAGCTACATCCGCAGCCCATATGCTATGTCACTAATATTTACACTCATTTACCCTAGATTATCACAGCTGTCTTTGCACAGTCAGACTTCTAATCTGGACCTAAATAAGGTCCAGCCATTGTATGTATGTTTGCCTAAGTTATGGATATAGTGTGGTATTGTATATATAGCTCATTATTTTTACTTTTTTCCACTAAGTGTGAAGCTGCTATGTGAAATGTAACTTCTGAGTAATACTCCAAGCTATGTAACCACGACGCTCTCTCCCTCTCTCTCTCTCTCTCTAAGATACATTCAATGCTTCGCATATAGGATGCTCCCATCATTATGAACAAGGTTATGAGTAACATGTGTGTCCTAGTTCTGTGTGAGAATGTGAGGGGACATAAATCCAGGGTTGAAATTGCTGGTCACTGGTCCTAGGGGTATACATAAAACTAGCTTGTCTAAGCAGTGCTAGACCCCTGGAAAAGCTGTACCAGCCTGCCTCCCACCTGCAGAGCACAGGGTTCCTGTCATCACTTCTCCAGAATGTTTGGTTTCCAGTTTCCTGATTTTTGTCTGTCATATAGATATAAAGTAATATTTTCTTTTTGCTTTGATTTTCATTTTTCTGGTTACTAATGATTTTGAGCATCTCCGTGTTACTTTTCTATAATTTTCCTGTTTGTATCTTTTGTCTTTCAGGCTGCTATCTCCTTTTTATTGTTGAATTGTAGAACTTTTTGTATATTGTAGATATTACTCCTATTGTTTCAAATATCTTTTTCCATTTCACCTATTACTAATTTTGTCCACAGTGTCCTTTGCTTGAACTGGAATCCTTTTCTATGAAGTTATACTAATCAATTTTTGTCTTAAAATTAGTGCTTTTGAGGCTTCCTACGTGATGTCCTTTTCTACCCCCAAGTCCCAAAGATGTTCTATGGTTTCTTTTATTATTGTTACAGTTTTTATCTTTCATTTAGGTCTGTAGTCTCCTTTGAGCAGTGATGTTCAATAGAAATATAATTTGAACCATATTTTTGGAAACGGGCTGGCTGCATAGCTCAATGGCAGAGCACTTTCCCAGAATGCCTGACATTTCGGTGCAATCAATCAATCAAATAAAAAATTCCAGTAGGACTAGGAGTGTAGTACAGTAGTGGAGCACTTGCCTAGCATGCACAAAGCCCTAGAGTTAATCCCCAGGACAACAAATAGAAATTTCCAGTAAACATAATAAAAAGGTAGAACAAAAGTTTGAAATCCACTTTAATATTTTTTACTTATCTCAACACATAAAATTGAGATATCGAAAAAATTTTCCTCTGAAGTCCTTGAAATCCAGTATTTTATACTTGTAACACATCTCAGTTTGGACTTGCTGTTTTAAGTGTTCAGCAGCCCCATGTGACCAGCAACTGCCATATTGGATAATGCAGGTATAGAGTCCATGCTTGTAGCTATTATTCAGTGAATACAAATGTGTCTCTAAATTACCTATTAACTCCCCACTGATTTGTGTGCCTGTTTGATAGTATTTTTGCACCCTGATTTTTCTTATATTCATCAGTGCCCCATTCCATCTGCTCTCTTTCCTGGAATTGTTCCTCTTTTCCATCCACACCTGAAAGTCTCTCCCAAGACTACCTGACTCTACATTTATCCTCTTCTCCATTCTGTCCTTATGAATCATGCCCTAAAGTAGCTTCAGTTGCCACATGTATGCAGATAACTCTAAAGACCATATTGTCCATCTTACCTTTCCATTTTCAGTGGTGCAGGACCACTTTAATTGGCTGCATATTTACACATATTTTACATTAACATGGTCATTTCCCGTTAATTTTTCCCCCATGTACACTTCCTTCCAAAATTTCCCATGATTTGTTCTGAGCCACCACACTTGCCACATGAGGCTGTGAACACCCATATTCCCTGAGTACTGTGCAGTGTGATTGTCTCTATACAGAGGAAGTGTTACAGCTGCACTGAAGTACAAGCTAAGGTGTCTGTGTAGAATTGATACATTATTCCATGACAGGCTGTTGCAGTTCTGTATATCCACGTTTTCTGTGAAATACTGAACTCGCCCAAGAGAAAGGGATCGTTGTCCTGTGGACTGCCTGGCCTACCAGATCTCATGTCTGGAGCTCATTCTGGGGCTGTGCTGTGCCAAGTCCTGGGCCTGCAAACAGTTGACTGTATCTGTCTGTCTTGACTGGTGATAGTCACTTGGGGATCTTCTCAGGACTCTTGCCCAATTATGCTGATAAGGCAGCTTGCCCAAAAAGGGGTTTGTTTGTGTGGAGAAAACAATGCAAGAACAAAGATTTTCTGTAGGAAGTCACCAAGAAATGCTCACTTCCAACATTTGGAGTCAAACATTATTACCCTGAAACCTCTAATTGCCAAGCCAGTGATGTAGAAACCACCTGCTTCTAATACTTCATTCAATCTAGAATATATCACCTTGCGTGCAGTTGTGTTTTATATGGTTAAGATATACTTTATGGATTCCCAGGGTGACATTATTCTGTTAGTCAGAGGATAGGGAACCTGCCATTCCTCTGATCTCTGTATGAGTTCCCTTGATTCTTCTGGGGAGAAAACAGAATGTGGGGTTGGTAATCACCCTCCTCCTGTTCTGCTCTCCACTGTCGGTGGAACTCCAGCTGAGACTAAATTGTGGCGGTGCACCCAGTCTTGTTATTGATGACATTTGCGAGGATCACGAGTGAAGAAAGTACATGAGGCAGGGAAGCACTCACTACCTTTGAACACATACTGCTAATTAACATCATCTGACCATGATGCGTGTCTTTGGTCTAAAGAGAGGCTTGGCATTGGTCAGCCCAGTATCTTGGAGATCATTACCACAGAGAAATGAGACCAAGATAGGGAGGCTCTTACAACCACAAGGTACTTTAAGGGTGTGGAGGCTGTGGTCAGGAAGGCAAAGACACCCAGAGACAGTTAGAGAAGCTGAGCTGTTTAATCACCTCCTTGGCCAGACTCAAGGCTGTGGTTCCCCTAAACAACTCACACCTGGAAGCCACTGGGAGCTGTTTGGAGATGGAGCAGCCACTTGAATCAGATGAGGCAGGATGGGAAAGGAGGGCTTCAGCACCTCCGACTCCATCATCTGGTGCTCCTGCTCTCCTCTCCCCTCCCCTGCCCTATCCCATCCCACTTCAGCTCGGAGAGGTTTCTGGCTGGTCCTTGGGGAAAAGGGACCTGGTGGTGGATGTTGTGCCCTGGCTGTGGTAGCAGAATGACCCCGAGGCAGGGGCAGTCATTTTCCACATGGCCTATAAGGGTGCAGCACTGTCCACACTGTAGTGGCAGATGGAGCCACAGGGTGGGGGAAGGGAGGAGAAGAAGGCAAGGGAGTGGAAGTGGGGGTTGCCTGGGTCCCACCATTAGTCTGGAATTAAATAGCAGAAGAAAAGATTGCTCTTGGGAACACTGGCTTGTCCCGTGACAGTTCCTCAAGATGGGCTGACCTTGGCAACAGACCCTAGCAGCAGGCAGTTGTCCTGACAAGAGGGTGGGCCCTGTCAACAGTCCCTGGCAGTTTCCTGAACAGAGGGAGGGAGCCGGCCTGGGAGTCTTGTCCCCCTCCCCCAACTATTTGTTCTTCTTGAAGAAACTGAAGCGTTTTTCTCGCTCTCGCTCTCTGCCATCCTTGCTGCGCAACACAACGGACCCCTCAGTCCCGGCCTGTGATACTGGGGGCATGGTCATGGCCCGAGTCATGCCCCGAGTGGCACTGGGCATCGCTGGCTCTCCCGGCTCTCCAGAGTCTGAGGATGCAGAAGCAATGCCGGCATTCACTACCCGCAGCCACGAGCTCATCTCTGCCTGTGGGGACAGGGAAACAACTGCTCAGTGTCAAGACCCCTGTGCTGGGGCAGCTACTGGTGGACAGCAGGGGAGTGAAAAGGAAGAGCAGTTAAGTGGTTAACTACTTCATCTCATTAGGAAGAAAAAGCCTTTTTAAAAAATAGTACTAAGTATTGAATCTAGGACCTTTGGATTGAGCTACATTTCCAAATCTAATTATTTTTTATATTTTGAGACAGGGTCTTGCTAAGTTGTCCATGTTGGGCTCAAACTTATGATCCTCCTTCCTCAGCCTCCCAAGTAGGGAAAAGGGGTCATGTTTTAGTATGGACTTCACATCCAGCTGGCAAACTGTGGGCTGTCTTATTACAAGAATGAGATATGCAAAACAAGGAAAAAGAGAGAGGAGAGGGAGGAAAGGAATCTGCCACTGGAGTCCTAAGAATGCCATGGAAAGAGAGGAATATGGGAGGAGGGGACAGCTCACCTCATCCTTGGCCTGGAATAAATATTCTTTTCCATCCTGTAAGCTGTTGGGAGACAGAAGCCACAAGGGCAGAGCTGAGAATCTGTGTTTGCCAGGTGAACATGGGAGAGCTCCATTCCCACCCAGAGGCTGGCTGGGAGGACACTAGGGCAGCCCTCAGAGCCAGATCTGACTTGCTTTGCACATTATTCAAATTTCCAAGATTTTGCAGATGTGTAAAGTCAAACCCTTTCTGATTGGCTGCAGAGGGCGAGGGTGAACTCACTTGCATCTCATGCTATGTGCTGCTGCTTGCTGGCAGGCAGGGCCAGGCCCCTGGAGATTACTGGTGGCAAGGGAATGGTGATACCCTGCCCCCAAATTTCCTCCCCAGGATAAATTTTCAGCCTGACACAGTCAGTTGTCAGATTGTTTCTTGGTTCCCTCACTTCTTTTAGTGTAAAATATAGTCAGAATCCCCCAGCTCTCCCTCATCTGCAGGCGTTCTCAGTGCTGGGTTTCCCAGCTCCATCTGGATGCTCCTTACAGGTGTCTCTATTCCCTCTGGACCTTGCTTGAAGCCCCATCCACCTTGTGTCAGCTCTGACTCCTCCTCCCGTTGAGAGCACCAGTCGGTTCGTACCTCAGCTTGAAGACATGTTTGCGCTTTCTATAATCGAAGGCGACGCTGCCCTGGGCCCTGGTTAGGCGGACAGGCAGTTCTCCATGGTATGGCACTCCTGCACTGGCTGCCTTTGCATCCTTGTAAAAGCCGAGGGTCCCATTCCGCAGGACACAGTACACATTCTGCCAGGATCTGGGCAGGACATGGCAGGGTCAGGAGCCCAGATAGGTGGGAGGACTGGCTAGCTAGGTAAGGCCTAAACCCTGGGCTGCCTCAGATATCCTTGGACTTGCAGTTCCATTCTCATCTTTAGGTCCCTCTGGTCCTCCCCTGAGGCCTGCACCAGTCCCAAATCTTCCCCTTCCTAGAGGACACAGTACTATGGGGTGCCCCTTCTTGGTCTAGGAAGAGGCTCCAGGGAAGTCTCCACAGAGACAGGAAACTTAGAGATGAAAGGCACTGCATAGCCAGTGTGGGTACCTGTTGGCGGCCTTCTTGAGAGTGGTCTCCATTTCCTGTTTGCGGCACAACATTCCCTCCATCTGCTCCTGGGCAGAGAGCTCAGGGCCTCGACTGGGCAGGGTGGCAACATGAGCTGACTCTGATGACCTGCTCTGGGGTATGACAGGAGAGGCTGGGCCCTGGGGCCGGGTCTGCCTCTCTCCCCGTGGCCCATTGGCCTCATCCCCTGCACCAGACCCCTGTTAGGGAAAAACAATGTCATGTCAAAATATTAGAGCCAAGCATGATGGCACATCCCTGTAATCCCAGCACTCTCAGAGGCTGAGGCAGGGCATCACAAGTTTGAGCCCAGCCTGGGCAACTTAGTAATTTAGCAAGAACTTGTCTCAAAATAAAAAATAAAAAGGGTCCTGGGTTCTATCCCTGGTTCTGTCCCCAGTACTGCCCTTTCTAAAAAAAAGGATGAGTTAGGAGATGTTTTACCTGGAGGTTGGGAAGTTCTATGGCTGTCTTCCAGCTCCCCTTTCTCTTGAGCTCTTCAGTCACCCCTAGGATTCCCACCCATTATTGTCCTTTCATCTCCCAGGCATCCACACCCACACCTCCAGGGGGACTCACAGGTTCTTCCGGGAAGCTGCTCTGCTCGAGTCTCTGCTGCTCCAAGAGGGGCTGCAAGCAAAAAGGCCATGAGAGGGTATGTATGTGTGGGGGAGGGTTCTGAAGGAAAGCCCCTGGTATGTGGCATTACCTGTGAAGACTCAGAGTCTGTGCAGACCCCATTGACGCTGGGTGCCTGTGTGGACAGTGGCTGCCGTGACTGGCTTCTGGAATAGTCAAAGGCGACAGAATAAATACCCGCTGGCTTCCAAGGGCTCAGCCTCCTCCTCCTGGCCCAGGTGTCCCAGATCTCACCCATCCCGGGCAGCACTGGGAGCTGTCCGGCCATCTACCAGCTCCCCCATAGGCAGGCTCTGGAGCTCTGGAGCAGGGGGCTGTTTTCTCTGTTCCTCCTCCTCCCTCTTTCTCTTCTGCTCCTTCTCTCTCTCCTCCAGCTGTCAAGAAATGTTGAGGTCAGCATGTAGAAGGCCTCGGTAAAGAAGCAAGGCATGGGGGAAACTGAAAAGTCTCAGCTCTGGTTTGATGAAACAGGCAGGATAGAGAAGAGAATCCAAAAAGAAGGTATGGACAAGAAGTAATGGGGAAGATGGAGTCTGATGACTCCTAACATTGTGGTGACAACAGGACACTCTCAGCTCACACCTGGGTGATGCCAGTGCTGTGCTCCAAGAAGAGAGCGCAGGCCAAAGGCAGGGTGGTGGCAGACACCCTGGAGAACCATGGCCCTCACCGCAGTAAGCTTCTCCAGTGCACTGAAACGCTCCTCCCAGGCGACTGCGGACTTCTGAAAGGCTTCATGCCGCTTGATGAGGTTTTCCACTTCATCCACTGTGCAGCCCAGTTCTGCGCTCCGCACCAGTGGCTCCTGGCTACATAGCCAGGCCTCTGCCATCCCTGCATCTCTACCAAACACGAGCACTTCCAAAACTGCCAGGATTGGGGGATACAGAGAGATGGTAGGTCAGAACAGGCACTGGTGGGATAGTGCCCCTAGGAACGGGCAAAAGAAGGCACAGACCCATGGCAGTGCCAGGGTTCCTGGTCTCTCCTACCCTGAAAACTACAGGAAAGGATGCCTAACCCCTCCTCCCAGGACCAGGTATCCCCACAGTGACTCACCAAGCTGGAGCCAGTCCATCTTCTCCTGCCACTTGTCAGCTGTCTCCTGGCGCCGGGCTTGCAGCTGAGATAGCTTCTCTGAGATCTGGGGGGCAGAAACATGAGTTAGCACAAGGCAGTAGGGCCTTTCCAGAGAGCTGCCCAGGGTAAGTTGAGATTTTAAGAAGTAGAACTAGGCATGATAGCACACACCTGTCATCTAGTACCCAGGGAGGCCAAGACATGAGAATTACAAATTCAAGCTTAGCCTGGGCAACTTAGTGAATTAGTGAGACTCTGTCTTAAAAAATAAAAAGGTCTGGGGACATATCAGTAATCGCAGCACTGAGGGAAGCTGAAGTAGGACTGCATGTCCAAGTCCCACCTGAGCAGTTTAGAGAGGGCTGGGGATATAGCTCAGTGGTAGAATATCTCTATAATTGATTCCTAGTACTGCAAAAATAAAAAAAAAAGTTAAAAAGGGCTGGTAAGGCCATGAGTTCAAACCCCAGTGCCACAGAAGAGGAGGAAGAAGAGGAGAAGAAAGTTCTGGAGGAAAGAGAATATGGGAGATCTCTGAATAGTACTGAGGGGTCAGAAAGTGAAAGATTTCTTACAAAGAATGAGAGGAAGCAGAAAGAAAGACTCAGGCAAAATCGGCTTTGAGCCTGCTCTGTGAGGCTGGCCCAGCCTTACTTACCTCCTCAGCAGCATAATGGCTCCTTGCCAGCAGCTCCTGCCCCATGTCAATGCAGGAAGAGAAGCGGTCAGCTCTGGCCTCTATCTCTGCTTTGATGCCTTGTTGGTTCTTGATGACGAGATCTGCAGAGGATACATCCCTGGAGGGATACAGAGACAGTATCACCCATTATTCCCATCCCCATCATAGACACCTGCCCACACAACCTATGGAGGCTGTTGGGCACCCCGGTCTCACCGGGGCCGCTCCTGGGCATCCATCTGCAGGTTAATCCCATCCATCCATAGCATCAGCTCCCGGACAGCCTTGAAGAATCGGAACTTGTCCGTGGTGTCCAGCAGCAGCTGGCGGCGGGCAGCAGAGCTTCCCTGAAGCTGGGCCCAGGCCTCAGCCACAGCCTGCATGTGGCGGCCAATCTCCTCAGCTTTGTCTCCAGCATAGGCCTTCTGGAGCCGATGGCCATCATCCTGCACCTGCTGGACCTGTGGGGCCCCAGGTCAGAGACAGACTAAGCAGGGAGACTCCAAGGAGCTGTAGCCTCCCTTGGCCCTGGCTGCTGCTGTCTACCTCCTCCTGCCTGTTTTACCAGTCAGAGTCAGGACAAGGAAGAGGGTCAGGAAAGGGCTGGGTGGGAAGGTGAAGGCAGAAGCCTTACTATATGCTGCCCTGTTGGGCTCATCTGGGGGCCTGAGCTGAGCCCAGGGGATAGGGCTTTTAGAGCTACTAAGCAGCTGAGTTTTCAGAGACCTGCCCAGCACATGAGGAACTTCAAAGATCGCTAAACATGAGACACGCAGCCTGCAACAGGAATCTGGGTGTAAATGGATGAAGGATCTATGATACTTCAACAAGTCCTAATCTCTAGCCTGGGTGTCAACAACAGGCAGACTTTAGTATAGAATGAAAAATCCTCCAGCCACTAGGACCACCTGAAAATGTGGGCCCCTCAAGGAGGCTTATCATTAAAAGGGAATGTAGTGACTAATGTCTTTTGGCTGGAGATGTTTTCCTGGAAAAATTCTTTGGATTGAACCCAAGGCTTTTTGCACTGAACTACATCCCTGGGCCTTTTTATTTTTTTATTTTGAGACAGGATCTTGCTGAGTCACTAAGCTGTCCAATCTAGGTTCACACTTGTGACCTCCCGCCTCAGCCTCCCATAGAGCTGTGACTACTGATGTGCACCACCACACTCAGCTCCTAGAACGAATCTATCCTTATTTCTGAGTGATCTCTCAGGTGCCATCTTCCCAGCATTTCTGAGATTTGCCCCCTGGCTCCTAGCACACCCCACCCTATTTTCTACAGTCTCCTTTCAGCCTTTCTCCCTTCCTCCATGGGGGTCAGACCTGGGCACTGAGGGCCTGAATGTCATGCTCGTAGGCACAGTGCCGGCGCTGCAGGGCCTCAGCGGCATTGAGGTCCCGGCCGGTAGCATCTGGAAGCTGCTGTTGCTTGTGCTGCACCCGTGCCAGGGCTTGGCGGGCACTGTGCAGGAAACGCTGCAGTTCGTATGCAGCAGCCAGCACCTGACCCCGCGTGTCCAGAAGCTCGAGCAGGTCAGCCCAGGACTCATTGAGACTGTCCTTCCACTCAGCCACGGTGGCCCGTGCAGCATGGCCCCCTGCAATGAGCCCGTTGGCCAGAGTGTTGGCACTGTTTACACGCTCCTGACCGATGGTGCTTGTGTCCCTGGAGAACTCACGGAATTTGTCCCGGAGCATCTGGCAGAGGAAAAAGTTGTAAGGACAAGGATGTGACACTGATGGGTGAGGTCCCTGCCTGACAGAGTCTTTCCCCCCAAACTGAAACCCCACTGAGTTAATGGGCATTACAGCTGCTTCTCACCCTACAGTCATATGTCACTTGACAAGGATACATACTGAGAAATGGATTTGCAAGGCAATGTTGTCAGAGTGTGCTTACACAAACTAAGACGGCTCAGGCATCACTAGGTGGTCTAATCTTAGGGGACCACCATTGTGTAGACAGTCTGTTCTTGGCCAAAATGTCACTAGGCAGTATGTGACAGTATTTTCTCTGATGCCTCCTAGTCCTAGCAAAGGCAGCAGAGGTGCTTTGAACCCGTTAATCCTTAGACAAGGATCCTCTAACTCTGGTTTATATTTCTGTACCATGAGGGTCCAAGTCCCCAATCTAAACACAAATCCCCAACCTGTAGGAGGAAATCTAAAGCTCTGTTTTATTAAGTTCTGTTGAAAAAGTGTGATTAGCAATTAATTCCCTTTTTGCTATGCTCAACCCATGTCTCCCTTTCCGCACAATTCTTCAAATTACTCACCTGCTCTGCCTGCTCTTGTGCCCCTGATCCCCAGTGCACTACCCTGTTAGAGGCCTTAGCTTCCCATGACTCCTCAAACCTTTGGCACTGACCCATAGGGTGTCCTTCTGTACTCACAGTTACATGCTCATAGTCCTGGCCCAGCTCATGGGAGGCAGCCACCACCTCACGCTCCTGGATCCACTGTTCCAGGTCATCCAGCTCTCGGCGTAGCTGGCACAGCCGCAAGTGCTCCTGCAGGCGCTCTCGCCGTTCCCCTGCCAGCTCCTTCAGGCTGGCATACAGCTTGTCCACCTGGGCCTGGCGGATGGTTAGCCGTGTGCTGCAAAGAGGGGGCACCATGGTGCTTATGATACATTGTGCTGATTCCTGGCCTGTTCCCTAGGGCCCTGTCCCTATTAAACCCTCGATTCCTCACTAAGTCTCTGCTTCTCCAACTTTCTAGAATGTTCTATATATATTAGAGAAAGTGCTATATCCCTGTACCTTCCAGGAACAGGTTTCCCTATCCTCTGGGAGCTGGGCCCCTTTGAGGCCTGTGAGCTTACCTCTCTGGATGCTCATGGTCAATCATATCTTGGCTGCTGGCTGCCAGCTGGTGGATAGTCTGGGCATAGTCAGCCAGGGCTTGCTCCAACACCTGATGCTTTTTGACCTCTGCCTGGGCACTCGGCTCATCCTAGAAGAGGAACAGTGGGTGTCAAGAGAGTAGGAGAAGAAATATTCACCACACTGACTGATTCTGCCGTGGCTCTCACCTTGGCTTTCTCCTGGCCCATCATGTGTAACTCCTGCTCACCCATCCAGGCCTCAGCCTCGGCGGCATCACGGTAGAACTGCTGGGCCCGCAGGGCTTCCTCCAGCCTCTTCCCCCGGAGCTCCAGCTCATGGCTCAGGCGTTTCCACATTTCCTGGAGCTCGGCCAGCTCAGGGCCTGCTGCTGCTGCACCCAGAGCATGCTGCCGCTCTGTAAGGTCTGCAATCCGAGGCTCGTGGCCCTGGATCTCCTTCTGCAGGGTCTATGTCCAGCCATAGCAAAAGACACACTGAAAGCCTTGCAAAGGGACTGGAGCCTACATCCCCTCTCCAGGCCCAGGGATGCCCCTTTAGTCCTCACACGCCCCTCCCAACAGAACTTGCCCTCCCAAGGTGAGGAAAGGTGAACCACTAGGTATGGGACCATGTAGCAATAAAGGAGGTTGGGGAAAGCTGCTCTTGGGAATTTTATTTTTGGTATCAGGAATTGACCTTGCACTTTCAAGGCAGGCGGCAGCACCACTGAGCTAAATCCCTGGGGGAACTTTTCTTTTTCCCTTAGCCTCTGCCTCACCTGGTTTTTCTTCATGAGCAGCTGGACGCTGGGCAGGTCCTTGCCATGTTCCATAGAGCTGGCCATGGGCAGCCGCTCCGTCACCCACAACTGAATAAGAAGAAGGGGGTCAGTGGAGGCGCAGAGGACAGAGTCAGCACTGGGGGCTGGCGCACAGGGATACTTAGTGCTATGCATATGTGCTGCTGAAGTGAGCACTATGGATGTGTGCAGGGAACAGTCATCTCTAGCTCTGG